AGGCAGTTGGGTGCCAGAGACCTATACTTCAGCTTAAAACTAGTGTGCGAGTACATGCAACTTATTTATAATATCGCTAAGAAAATATTACTGATATTTCAGGACTATGGCGAATTTTGAGGTGGCTGTAGCTCTCCCTGTAGCCCCTCTCCAAGTGCCACCGCCACGCACCCAAAATGCAGCCCCAGCTCAGCCCCCCTGCCAGGAAGAACCCAGCACCATCCCCAATCCCAGCCCACAGCGTCAGGCCACCCTCACCCTAAGCACAGATCCAGGAGGCACATGGCTCCCATGCCCTCCTGGGGTATGTGTAGCAGCAGGAACTATGCTCACCCATCCCCACGCCCCTCAGATGATCTGCTTGTGGCTCCATCTGGTGCCCTGCCCTGCCCCACAGCTGGACAGCGCCTACCTCTGTCTCAGCCCCACTCCCTCCCTCACCACAGGGGCCTTGGTCTGCCCTCCCCATGCCCTTTCCCTCCCCTCACAACAGACTTACCAGCTGGACGCTGCTCTCCATGCTGCTGAGCTGTGGTCCTGGCCACCTGTGGGCTATGCGTATGCAAGTGAAATTTATCGGTGACATTATTGGCCGCATCAGCCAAAAAAAGCCAATTGCTGGTAACGTCAATTTTCCTTTTATCAGTGCTGATATGATATGGGACTGATGTATTGGTACACCTCTGCTATTGATCATATGAATATGTTTTAGAACAGTGATTCTCAACCCAGGTGCTATAGTATACTGGGGTGCCATTAGATCTTTTCAAGGATGCTGCAGGGTGCCACACTATGGGTATGTCTACATGTGTACATGTAATGTGCATTAGCTTAATTTAAGGTGCATTAAGGGCATGCATCTACATACGCATGCCCTTAATGTGCCTTAAAAGTGGCAATTTTAGGCTATTCAAACCTAAATGTGATACCTGCATAAAGCAGGTATCAAATTTATGCATGAATAGCAAAGTTGCATTAGCAAACGTGTAGATGCACTAACACACATTAACATGGTGTGTGTCCATTGACTTGGGACAAACTTCAGACCCAAATTGGTCCACACACCTGTGTTAATGTGCCTTAGTGGGTGCACTTGTAGACATGTGCCTAAATTGCCTTAATACACATTAGGCTAATATGCCATTAAGTTTCGGTGCGTGTAAAAGCACATGGAGAAACACCCAATGTTAGCTACAACTGATCTACAAGACAAACCCAGGTGCTTAAAGTGATTCACAAGATAAACCCAGAAATTTCAAATAGGACTGCATAACGTCAAGAGCATTGAGATCTCTTGCAGTCTTTCTGAGTTCTTTGAAAAAGAAAAAATTTTCCTTTATTATTCTGCAGTCAAAAAAAGTGAAAACGAAGAGCTGACATTTTCCAAATCCTGCCAAAAGCCTGTTGAAGGGTACCTTAAGCCTAAAAATGGTTGGGAATGACTAGTTTAGGATAACTTTTATGAATTGAAGCAGCATAATAAAACATCCCCAACCATTTCAGATATCCTAGATTATTCTTTGCTGTGAAAAATAGAAATCAATCTAGCTAGATACTTTTTCATTGTTTTTAAATAAACATAAATAACTTACTCCTTGTTCTTGGAACATTGTATACTTTTTATGTAAATGTAATGGTAAAACCTTTGGTTAGTGCCAAATTAAGGTTCCCCCTGTAGTACATTATGCCTTTCCAAGCTTAGCCAATATCAAATGTCTGAAAACCAGGAAAGAAAGAGTTATAATACACATCCAGACAACCTAAACTCCCTGGATTTTACCTAGTTCTCATAAAGCCAATGAGAATGATTTGCAGGCATTCCAACGTTATTCACTATGTTAAATACAGCTGTGTTAAACAGTGAGGGGATTTGGTGGAGTAGTGTGGCAGAGCTGAGATTGAGACATGAGGTCCCCTGAGGGATCCTGCCTCTCCAGCAAGATGAGATGAGCCCCTCTGCCTGAATCTAGTGCATTTGATCAAAAGGAAGGAATACTTTGAGATTCAATCTTCAGCACCCTATTAGATAAGCTTTGTCAGTAGCATTATTCTTATGAAGATATTCAGCAGCTAAGTGGGGGATGAGTATGGTCTGTGGGTTTAACTGAGGATAAATATAATTTTGGATGGTGTCATGTACATAAGAAGTTATAAAAGGTAGCAAACAATTGTAAAATTTAGCTGGAGTGGTGTAAGCTTATATGGTGAGCCTGGGGCAGATAGACAGCCCCTGTTCAGTATAGTTCAAAAGGTGAAGGGGTAATATATATGGTATGCACATATTAGGACACTACACATGTGGGGTTGCGAGTGTGGGGACTAACTGGGCACAAACCACAACAAAAGAAGAAAATGGTAAAGAAAAAGTTCTCTTCTTTATCATGAACAAGACAGAAAAAACAAGACAAAATAATGCTGATAAAAGAAGGAAGCACTTTAACTGAAGTCTTCTAATAGGGTTTTAGGCTGCTAAGAATGCCTCATCACTATCTAAGCAGTTGAAAGGAACTGAGGAGCAGATAGTACATGCAACCTTGTGTGCGGCACATGGATGGACAGGGCTGCAGCTTGCTCTATGGATACTGCTAAGATAAAAAGTCTCTGATCCAAGAGCTGAGGATGCTTGAACATCCACAGTGAGGATACATAGTAAAAGGAAATTCTGAATTACAAAGACTTTCCACTACTAAGCAACTGAATGTACCTTGGAATCTGTTCGACTGCTGGATACAAGATGTGTGCCTATCCTAAGTGACAAACTCTTTTGTTGAATGCCAAAAATCAATGTGTGGTTCCCCAGGGCATACTCAGTGCCATGTCACAGCAGGGACTGAGACCATTCAGAGCAAGCTCAGAGCCATGGTTTGATCCCTAGACACACACACACAAAAGGTGGTAGAATCTGACCAACTTAAAAAGAGCTGTTCTGAGAGAGGGCTTTCTTGAGATCTACTTTCTAGAATTACCCCAAATTTAGAACTACAGTGAGAGAGCCCAAGTTTCAGTGTAATTTAACTGTGTGGATTTCAGAGGACTTGGGAACAGGGATCTGTGAACTCAAATATAACTACAGCAAAACTATTACAGCACTATGATGATGGCTAAAATATTAGTTGATACTCAATTCACTTTTACGTTTCTCAGTTTTCTTGGCCTTTGACCTTAAAGAAGCTTCTATATTCTGCTCATCTGCTTCAAGAAAACCCTGTACTTTGCTTGTCCTGACAACCTGCCAGGGGAGGATTAGTTTAAATTCTCTCTGCTTTTGTTTTTTCCTTCATACAACTGATCCCTGTATCCTTACAATATGAGAGGTGATGAGCTGTATGAGTCTTCAGAAACAGTTCATTCCTACATGTAGTAATGAAAAAATCCATCTTGAAGTCAATACAATGTACCTAGATATCAGCGCTAATAACAGGCCATGCTTGATAGAGCAGTCATTTAAGGAAAGTAAGCATTTGGACAAAGCAAAGCTAGAAGGGAGTAAGGGCAGATTTGCAATGTTGCTGCTGAGTAAACAGGAGGCAGGTGGTCTTCAGATTTGTCTATAGCCTAGAATAGCTTTAGTTCAGCAACTGATAGCCAGCTTTTGGTAGAGCCGCACTAGTGACAGGCCCTAACCACAGTTAAGAACATGCAGATTCTTGTACTTCTTACATTAATAGATTTTATCCTGCTTCAATACTTTTCACCTTGGTGAGTAAATGGTGGGGAATTTTTTTCAACCCGGTAAACAGGAACCAACAGCGATATTGTAAATTAATGTGATTAAAAAACATTAAAATCCTTTGTAGTGCAGTAGTTTCCAGTGTAAGGAATATTTAATTACATTCTTAGTGTATTATTACAGAAAAATAATTTCAGCTCAGAAAATACAATGGCCTAAGTGATGTTTTAGTGCAGATTTGTAATTGGTTTTGTGTGCATGCACATGGCTCAGTGTTCATTGTGATTACTTAAACTCATTGTTTAAAAATAATTAATTGAATCAATCTTTTTCTAACTGCAAGAAAATTCTTTTCATCAACAGCTGAGGATTAAAATGGAGGTGAGGTGTTAAGAATTCTCTTACACAATAATTTAGGGTAGCAAGTGCAAGATAACAAATTAGCTTCAGAAAATATTAACATAACACCTGCAAAGCCTATAAAATCAAAAGGGTTTTCTTCGTAAATTTGACATTTCATACACTTGCACTGAGGAAATATGGTACTATAAACAAATAACTTGTTTAAATGTGGTGATTTCAAGTCTGAAATACAAAGACAGTCTGTCCTGAATTCTGTCTAAAATTTCACTCACTCAAACACATTAAATACTCCTTTGTGCCCTATCCCAAGCCTGAGACAATCCTTCAGCATCATGAAATGCACAACATGTTGGTCTAACATTTACCAGCTTACCAGAATGACAGTGGGCTGTTACCAGCACCTAAGTGTCACTGAATTGTAGCAAGGCTTGGTCACATTTTTTTTCTTCAATTATGGAGAAACAAGATGCCCTGATGTTCCTACCTCTAAAATTTTTCCTGACATCTTGCTTCACTAAAATAATGATGTTTTCTCATTCAGATCTCATAAACAAGCTCAGGTTCCCCTATGTCCCCCTTTTTGTAAATTCACAGTAGCAATACAATTGCTACTAGAGGTAGTTTAATATTTAAAATTATTCTTTTCTAACTACTTTCTGCCCTGCATTCTTCATTATCCCTTGTCTTTTGACCTTCAGAATGAGAGCAGCGTGGACCAAAGACTGTATTTATTTGTGTGTATTTGCAATACACTAAGTATATTAATAACAAGCAAGACTAATGTCAAAGAATTTCATGCAGAAGTCTGTGTGGGAAAAATAGTGTTCTAACGTAGCCCCCATTTCAAATCCATTAAAGAAAAACGTCCTCCATTTAGTGATCAACATACTCTTCCATGAATGAAATCATATTCTTCCCTTAAAACAAGCTCCATTTAAAAGAAGAAATACAAATTACCATTACTCACCCCTCTTATCATTTCTTCCTGTACTTGTTAATTTATCTGAAGGGCAAGGACAACGTCCATCACACTTCACTGAGATCTGTTTTCCTGAGACACATGCTTGATATTCTAGTTTGCACTGTAATAAATGAGAGTGATGATCATTAATGTAAACATCTTTTATAATGTAAATTCCAACTCTTTATTTACTACGGTTATACATGCTTCAAAAAACTACTATGTAGTATATATTATCTTTGCATTTATATTATGTATTAACAATGGAACCAAGTTGTAAAGTTATGTGATGTCTGAGGTGGTGGTTGTTCTGGGTTCACCTCTGTTATTAATGCCTTTGTACAATTACACTGATTTAACAATACAGACATATTCTACTCAGACTATATTAATTCTGCCTGCTTTATCTATGCTAAAGATCAATAAGAATGCAAAGATCAGTACTGACGTATAAATCAAGGATCTTTTTAGAGGATTTAAACACTTCATGCATTTCTACTTTTGAACAACAGTGACCTAACCAAAATAAAGCTAGTAAAATCATGGATAATACAATTTTACATATTCCATGCAGTGACTATTCTAATCAGGATCTATCTTTTGCAAGATACAAATAAAATGCATTAAATGTTTGTACATGCGTTGCTGATTTGTACAGCATTCATAAAATACTTGTCTTTATAAAATATAGACAAGGAACAAATTCAGAGATTAGGAACATCAACTAACCAAATACTGGACAAAATGAGAAACAACCCACAACCAGAACTAAAAATAATATGAAAATGTTTACTGGAGAGGAAAAAATGAAATTTTCATAAACAATCATAATCAGTATTGCTCTTTACAAGAAGTTACATTCTTTCTCATAATATTTACCTTACTTTACACACATTCAACCTAAGTACAGACAGTCAAAAAGCCTGAGGTGGTATTGATCCAAACTATGCAAGTTTCTCTAAGCTGAATACACTAAACCATTAATGAACAGAACTCACATTTACTCTTTGGTTGGCCAAGACAGGCAGATGCCTGCACTAGCCAAAGCCAGAAGGAGGGCACTCCCCCGCATGCCTCTCAGCTCCGCCAGGATGCAATCATCCCAACACTGCCCCCTTGCCAGCCCCCTGCCTCACAGCTGTGAGGAGGTTGCGGGGGGGGTCTGTTCCCCTCCACCCCCCCCCCCAAAGCTGAGAGGCAGGGGTTGGTGAGGGGGAGGGGTTGAGTAATCAGCCAGGTTGTGCAGGAGGGGAGGGGGCGAGAAAGCCCCCACCACAAGGACTTCCACCCCTGCTGTGCAGAGCCTGGCTGGGAGGGACCAGGGCCTGGGCAGGGGTCCATTTCCCCCCTCACCTGTACTCCCTGCCACCTGGGCTAGGAAGCAGAGGCTTTGCTGCCTCAGCTCTGTGACAGCACAGGAGTGGGACCACCTGGTTTAGCTGGAGCAGAAAAGCTGGGGCAGAGGCTAGCCTGTCCGTTTTGTGGGGGGAGGTTAGCAGGGGACCACAACGCATCCTGGGATGCCACAAGACTGCCACCTAACTTGTGTCTGGAACAGAAGTTTGGTAGACTGATCTAACTTAAAGTGATTCAATCTGATACTGCATCCATCCAGATATATCTTAAACTGGATTCCACCATTTTGAAACCAGTATATGCACACTGAATCAGTCTACATGCACAAGTTTAGACCAGTTTCCAATCACTTTTATCCGTTTATGTGTCATTTCTGTCCATAACCTCAGAGTCAAAGGTCTATATGAGCCTAAACAGCTCTTCAAATGACTAAGATTAAGATAATACAGTTTCTACAGCCAAAGGCAAGTAAGGAAGCAATGTGTCTATTGCATTCCATTGCCTCTGAATTCCTAGATTGAAAGACCAGATATCCAATTACAGCTAGGTCAACTGAATTCAACATCAATCTAGAACAGGGCTGAATTTACACCTGAGGGAGCACAGCAAGACACTTTAACTAATCTTCCACCACACCCCAGGAGGACACCACAGAGCTAGAGAAAAATAATGTTCTACCACTGTAAAGAAGATATGGACTTTTACAAAGACATGTGTTCTTATTATCTTATTTTCTCACATGCAACATGCACCTTTCCCTCAAAGGTAGCCCCCCTGGGAGGGGTTTAAGTGGGGAAGATCTTTTCTTTGCCTGAAAGAAACATGATTGAATATACTTCACATGCCATGTATCTGTCAAGATGGGTGCAGCTCGTATCTGTTTTGGCAAGCTGAAGGGGCAGTGTCTCATGTTCTCTCTCTTACAGCCAGCCATAGCTGTTGGCTAAGCACTATAGCTTCTGTTGCTTCTGGCAGTATGTTGATGAGGTTTGTAATATGGAAACTCTTTATTTATTAGAATATAAAGAACTAACTGTCTTGCTACTGTCCATGCAATGGTTTGGGGCCTAACCTTGTGTCACACAATAAGTCCAGGAAGAGTGTCACACACACACACTAATCCAGGAAGTGTGGCACCCCAGGAGAGAGTCTGAATGAGGCAGCTGTCACCACAGTTGCCCATGACTGGAAAAATCTTTTTTTTTTTCTATATTCTGTCTTCTAAAAACAAGGTGCATGTTTTATTTGGGTATGCTGTATGCAAGGAAATATGGTATCATTAGCCCACTGGCTCATCTGCAGAATACTCCCTCAGTCCACTGTTATGGAAAAAAATATATTGGTCATGTAGAAACAGTTTTGAAGGGGTGAAAGAAAGACTAAAAAGATTAGTAGGGAGAGTATTTAGTCTCTCAGGAAGAGGAGAGGGGGCTCCCCCATTCCCAGTCAAAAAGACATTCATCTCAAAACCCCTAGAGGTTTACAGAATTCAAATTCTTCAAATCCTTGGCAAATCAAATCAAAATTTAATTTTGATTTTTGTGATACCATTAAAACTCAAAAAAAGTGATTCACCAGAATCTTATACGTACTAATTTATTTTCTATTTGGATATTTATATTTGGAAGCTCCAGCTAAATCCAAATGCAGAATAAAATGACTAGATTGCCCTGGAAATTCAGAAGTGACTGTTAAAGGCTGCTTTGACTTTTTTCCATAGTATCTACCATTAATAAGAGGAGTTTCAAAGAGCAGAGGTATTTAATGGGAGGCAAGTTCAGATGAGCTTGAGGATATGTGTCATTATTCTGATGCTGACACAAAAGTACCTACGTTCACTCTCATTACAGGTCAATTCATGGGTCTTTGTCAGTTTTTCAATATAGCTGGTCTCTTCAACCTGCCACACATGTCCCCACAGGCTTAGTACAACCTGTGTGCTATCATTAAACTGTAATGCATGGCAAAACAGTATCAAGACAATGACTGTTAGAAGAGTAAGGAAAAAAATAGACCTCAATCAATCCTTTTGAATTTATATAACAATTTGATTGGCACTGGACATTCTAAGTGGCAGCTTTTGGTGGAAGGCAGAAGGAGAAACAGGGATAAGGGACAAGAAGAACCTCACCACTTGTGCACCCTGAAAAAAATAAAAGAAGACCCTGTACTCAGATCAGAACCAATGTGTGTACATGCACACACACACACACACACACACACACACACACACACATGCATATATATACACACATACATATGGAACTTACTGCAGCTCTATATTTTTAGAAAGGATCAGGAAGAGAAAAGAAAACAATAAACAACAAAAGAGAATGAAATGAAACAACAAAAAGAACCCACGGTCCATTCCTAAAACAAAAGACAATAGATAGTCTGGCATGCAATCATTCTCTGCTTTCTAAAAAGGTGCTTGCCACAGATACAGTGCCTGTGACAGTTTCTGTTGGGACTCCTAATAAATTCTATATGAATTTCTATTTAAGAAAGATTCAGATTTTCCTATCTGTGAAATCTTAGTGATTGTCATCGTTCCATCTTAATTGCTTCCAATCTGACAAATAATGTTTAGATGTGTGAGTAGTCCCATTGAAGACTGCATTGCCTTTATTGACAATATTCACTTCAAATGGTCATGTACATAAATCTTGACAGAATCAGAACCTTATTTATTAGATTTAAGGTTTGAGATCTTTGTAGAATAAATAACAACATGGAATACTTCTGGGAAGAGTTTCTCTCTGTTGTCAAGATACTTTAATGGATTCAGTACTTCTATTTGTTCTGTTCAAATAGGTACTCTGTTTCTAAGATTAGTAAATTTTTGGGGTAAAATTTGAGCTAACATAATATGTAGGGATAGACTCTTATATAGTGGGTTCTTTTAATTAATGATGTCTAACCAATTCCATTCATAATAATAGTGCTTTCTTTAAATATTAAAGGACATATTCTTCACTGCCATGCACCTAGTATATTCATCGACACCTAAATAGTGAGTGAAAAGTAGGTGAATTACACTTCCAAATATATAGCTTCTACTTGAAGCTGTTTTAGAATTGTATAAGCATGTTACATTTCCTTTATGGAGATGTAAATGAGGAACAAGGCAAGAGACAGTCAGACTTCATATCTACTGTAGCATAGAAGAAATACTGTGCTTCCACAAGGTTAAAGAATGAATCAGTGGGAAGTCCTGAATACTTCAGCAGCAACACCATGTAATGTTATAAAGAGAATATTTACATTCTTCTCCAAAACTATTCATCTGGGTCTCCAGACTAAGAAATGACTGCAATACTCTACAGGCAGCCGCAAGACTCAGGGGCAGGGGACAGAAATTACACATAACCCAGCATAAATTATTGGAAACCAGTTCAAACCTGTAACACAACAGAAGTTCAGGGAACATAAACCACTTTCAAAATGGCCAAAACTGGTTTAAAGATAAACCTGGATGGATGTAGTATCAGGCTCAACTGATTTTGTTTAAATCGGTTTATTGAACTTCTCTCCCAGATCCCCTCCAGATTCAAGATAATTCAGAGTCCCCCAGTATCCCAGGATACTTTGCATATCCCCCGCAAACCGCTCTATTACAGGGTGGGTGGGCGGGCTAGCCCTGGCCCAAGCTGTCTGCTCCAGCTGAGCAGGGAGGAGTGTTCTAGTACTCCCTTGGCTTCTGGCCTGGGCCACTGCAGGCATGTGGCTGCATTTTGAAATCAAAAGGAAATGTTCATTTACCTG